GGTTCACCTTTTCTTGGCTCCCTGCTCTGCACTTTGTCGGGAGATCACGTGTGAGGAAACAAGCCCCACGTGGTTTTAATCATTTTGCTATAAAAGCTGAGCTGCTCTCCACTTTGATCCAGGCTGAGCTGCTGGAGGAAGGGCTGGGGCCGAGCTGGCCTGTCCACGGAGTGCTCTGCACACAGCTCCCACATCAGACGGCAGCCGTAAAAGGGAGCACAGCTCATTAATTCTCCCTCTTAACCAGGGCACCTGACAAGAAGTGACTTTGAAAACCTGGAGGACGGATGGGCGGGTGGATGGGCGGCTCTTGGTCTGGGAGAGGAACATCTGTTTCCAGGTCCCTGGCTGTTAAATTGACATCTTTTTATTTGAAAAGTTTCTTTTATTTCCCAACTTCCTGCAATTGGCAAGGTTTCTGTGCCAGGGATCAGAGAGTCATGGCTTTGCAGACAATACCAGCTGAGTGGCCTCACTGTCCTGCAGGACAGACGTACAAGTGCCAAGGTGGGCCGCCTGGTGCTCTGTCGATTGTTAAACCTGTGTTTGTGCAGAGAACATCAAACCCCACTTAAAAAAAGCAAAAATGGCCTTGAAATTGAAAACCTTGTGAACGTTGTGAGCCTCCATCTGAGAAATATTAACGTTTCAGAGCTAGAAAATTCACAGGGAGCCTGGTGTGTTCCATTGAGTCTTCCTGGGCTCAGCAGTCAAGTTTCCTTAACAAGAATGACCCACATGCCTGCTGTCTGCAGTCTTCATCCTCTTTGGTAACCAAAGACCCCAACTTTGACCTTTAACCCCTAATGGCAAAAGCCACTAGCAAAGGCTGGGTTGATTCTTCTCAAGGTGAGAGCCCAAGACTCTTAGGATGGGAGACTGAAAGTGATGGGTGGAAGATTCTATTTATCTCTACTGTGTCTGGAAGCCTTTGGATCATCTTATATTCCTGGCCATCTGATCCACATGCTTTATCCTGTGTCCTTGAGGATCCACTCTTGGCTAGGTGGATCATTGTCAGTAGGACAGCCAACAGTCAGTCAATATTTGAGAAATAAAGGCATGGTGGAATCCCAAGGGATCATCAAGAGATAACTGCATCTCATACCCCCCCCCACCACCGCGTGTACAAGTGTGTGTGTGCACGTGTGTACATGTGTGGTGCCAGAAGATGTGAGTCTGAATGTTGGCGCATCTGTGTGACAGCATTGGTGCCATAGTGTGTGTGTTTCTGAAGCATGTGTCTGTGAAGTGAGTAGATAAATGCATAAAATATCTCTGTCAGAACATGTTTCTGTGTATTAAGGTGCATGAGGAACTACTGGGATGAAGTGGCGGTGTGCGCTTGTGGGATGTGGATGAGAACGAGCATTTCCTCATAATCATGTTTCCTGGAAGTGATGGAACTATCCTTATTGGTTCTGCTTTAGCAGTGATCGAACACTCATGCCTCTCAATTTTCAAGGCCTCTGATATTCCTATTCCCATTTCTTTGAAGCCTCCATCAAAATTATAGTCTGTCCAGTCATTGCTTGGGTTTGTCTCCTCCTAGGCGATTTGCTTAGCTCTATACACCTTAGTTTCCTTGTCTGTATAAGGGAAAAATGGTGCTAGATTAGTGAATTCATAAAATAATTCGTGTAAAGCAACTTGAAATGACCTGGCACAGAGAGTAAGCATTTGGTTAGATGTCATCGGTACCACCCGTTGCCACTTTTGTCACTCCCACCTCTTATCTGAAATCATGTCTTTCCAGTGTGCTTTGATCGTCTTCCATTCTCTCCCATCTCCCTTCATCACATTATCAACCCTCATCAAGTCAGTGACCCCAGCATCTTCACCACCTTTCTAACCCAGATGACCAAATTAGGGAGTTTCCAGACGGGTGAGACCAGCAGAGTGTGACCCTGCCAAGATGGTTCACTTGAGTGGTAGAATTAGAATGTAGAGACTCCTTGATTTTTCAGTGACTTGCGTGTAGGACGAGAGAGGGAGAAAGTAGGAAGGGAGCCACGCAAATGGGCCCCTGTAGTATGCTTGCCTTCCCCCTCTCCTCTTCCCTCTTTGGACTTGGCTCAGGGTGAGGAAGGAGGCCCTGGGGCAAGCTTGGGACATCCAAGAAAGTCAATGTCTTGGTCACTTTGGCTTTTCCATTCCAATTTGAATATATTAAAATGTAACATTCCAGCTGTGCAAATCCCCAAGCCCTTGAAATAAAAGGTTTTTAACTTTAACCATTAAAGATTTAACTAGCCAATAAATCTAAGTATGTGGGGGGTTGTTAGCAAACGTTTATTATATTGCTTTTGCTTTTAACTTAAGAGAAAATGCCAAGTGTGGACTTCCATGAAAAAGACATTCCCTTATGCTCAAAATGGATGTCAACCCCCAACCAAAAACAAAGCAAGAGATAGCTGTTTCCGGAAGGATCCACTCACTTTCCTCCAAATATCTTTAGGAGTTAAAATGGCTATATCTGTTTTACAAACCAATTTGCTTCCTACAAAAAATAAAATCAAATAATAATAAAAAACAGCCTGTAATAGCCTCTTGTTGCCACAGTCAGAACATGACTGACTAAATTAATCCAAAAGCCTACTTGCAGTTTGAGCGTCTTGGCGCCAACTTTTCCAGAACCAGATTTTATAAAGGCACAAAGGGGATATAGCCTTGGTGAGGAAAATCACAAGATCTTTCACTTTTAGTATCTCCTGGGTGAGTTGGGTAATCCGTGTCTTGGATTGTAGTGCTTAGCTTTGCCATTTTTACCTTTAAGGCAAGCAAGCCATCTGCCCAGTAGTGAAATATGGCTTTTAATTTACACAAATGTAAAAGTATAGAAGTTAACAATCATATTCACCCTGGACTTGAAAAATGAATAGAAGCCAGATAAATCTTGGCCATTAAAGAAAAAAAAAAAGATCTGACGTACATGTTGAGTTATACCAGCCAGCATGGGGACAGAGCCACATTCCAGATGTGCTATTTTCCTACCCATTGACAGCTCTCCAGCCCACTCCAGCAGTAAAAAAGTCCTGAAGTGGATTTTTTAATCTGGCGTAGACTCCTTTTTGCCCGTGAGGCCTGCTGGGTGGGTCTGCTGGGTTTCATTTCTCACAGAATGAACCGGTGAGCCCTGTTTGTGGGAAACACACAGTAAATCCTGGCCCTTGCTCAGGAGACCTCCCTCCGGAACATTTTTCACATCTAAATAGGAGCTGAATAAAGTTGATAAGCACTTGTATTTTTTAAAGTGATTTTACTTTTCACTCAAAGTGGTTTAGCTCAAAGATTTTGTGCTCTAAGAGGCCTTATCTTCTGCTCCCTGAATTAGAAGGCAGAGTACCATGGCGATGGCAAAGCACATCCACAGCCTGTTCAAATTGCAGGAGACACCTACATTTTCCTTTTGAGTGGCAACCCGTCCACATCTCCGTGGCCTCAGTAGAGGAAGGGCTGATTCCAGAGTTCCCTCTGCTCAGATGATTCATTTCCTCCATTCCCCTGCAGCTGCCTAGAGGGAAGTGTGAATCCCAGGGTCCTGGGGTGCAGAAGTATTTCCCTTGGAGGTCTCTAGCATTGTCCTTTGATGTGAATGTGATGGGGAAGGGCTGAGCTTGCTAAATTTTAAGTCTCCTCATGGATTGAGAGGTGGAGGCACTTGAGAAGTTATTTTCAAACCAGCCTGGAATAGAAGGGAAGCTGCAGCTGATTTGCTGGAGGAAAAGCCGGAAACTCCAAAGACCTGTTTTCAGCCTCCAAACAGCAAGGATCATCAACTCATGGGGGAGGCACAGGGTTGTCCCTGCCAGCTTCTCCTTAGGGAGTTTCCAAGTGGACTTTGCTGTCCCTTCTGCTGTCTCTAATTTGCAGATCCCAGCCGGTTGAACCCTGGAGACAGACAAAGCAAGAGAGAGACTCCTCAATTGTTGTTAGAATGCTTTGCTTCCTGAATAACAGGCTGCTTTGAAAGGGGGGAAAAAAAAAACTTATCTGGATCCCTAGTACCTGTACCACTGTACATGGCATAACCTTGGTGTTCTTGGAGAAAAGGCACCCATACTTCCTGCCAGAAGGATTACATTTGTTTAGAAACTGCTTATTCCATTTGGTCATTCATCCATTCATGTATTAGCTCATTCAGTTATTAATAAATATTTCTATGTGTCTTGCTCCCTGCTTGGTTCAGAGTGGTAGGCAGAATAGGACCCAATGCTTAGGTAGACAGTCAGCCAGAGCTCTCTGGAATGAGGAAAGCGACTCTTGACTCTATCCCTAGAGTGGGTCCATCCTTTCTGCCAGTGTTCAAAACAGAAGAGTCTTGTACACGAGAGGTCGATTAGTCCTTCAACTTTGGTTGTTTCCTTGAGCTTTTCATGGCTCTATTTCAAACCTCCTCATGGTCCATAACCCCAACTGCATGGTCTCCTCCATATGCAATTCCTGCTTTTAGAGAAGGCAGGCAATGTTGGCTCTGCCTCCCAGGTAGCTTCAACGCCGCTGCTCCCACCAATACCCTCCCACCCACAATCCCAGCCACAGTGTCAAAGCAGATCCCTCCGATTTCCCTCTTGATCCCTCAGCTCTCACCTTCTCCAGAACCCCCTGGTACCACAAAATTCCTCTTTCCTGCATCTGCTCAGTCTCTCCTCCGACCAGGACTCCCGAGGCCTATCCCCATGCTGTGGGCTTTCCCCTTCCAGGCTCAGCATGGCCAGGCTCTTGTTGGCTGCAACTTCCTACTGAGGGAAGGGACAGACTCTATCTGCACGAGCTGGGATCATTCCCTCTCCCGCCATGACACGGCCCCAACACTTCCTCCTGCTTCTGCCTTTCCCCTTCCCCATCTGAAAGTAGCCATTTAAAAAGGTCGAAATGGGCTTCATGAGATTTAAGGGGTTTATTAGTTTGAAAAACCGTGTTCCCTGTTTGGAGGAAGGGGAAACAGCCGCCTTCTTTTCACATTACGTCAATCCGCAGGCGTCTGTAATTTACATTTTTTTAAGTCAAATGTTCAGAAATAATGGAAAGGCTGCTTGAAAAAAACAGATGAAATAAAAACTAGCGGAAATGTGTATTATACAAAAACCAGACCTGTGAGCCTGAGGCGAGACGCACGGATGACCTGGGGAGCTGATTAATGAGGCAAACCAAAGGAAGCCCAGGTGAGTGTGGATGCCACGCTTTCTTCACAGTTGCTGACGCCCATGGGCTGGAGTTTCATTTCCCACGCACAACTTCATGGATGGCTTTCATTGGGAAATTTTAGAGCCACTCATGTTTCTGCCCTTGGAGAAAAGACCCCTGAGCTGTGGAAGCTGGGCAGATGGGAGAGTGTGGAGGGAGGACCCTACTGGGTCCCAGCCTCAGTATGTCTTAGTCCTCAAAGTCAATCTTTTCTGAGCCAGCCTTACCTTATTTAGTCCCTGCTTTAGATTTTCCTCTTTTCTTCTGCCTCATTCTCTGAGGAAAAAGGAGATGAGGGCCAAATGGTTAAGGCCACAGTAAGATCTAAGATGATCAATTAAAAGAAAGAACCCAACTTCTAGTTACAAATCAAATAACTGCTTACAAAATAACTTATTCTATTTCCGCATATAGTTTTATTCCCCCGTATAGTATATCTCTAAATGCTGTGTCATTTAACATTCCTTCGGCAGATATTTTAAGCACATACCATATGCCAAGGACGGTATTGACTTAGAGGATCCAAGGAGACCAGAACAGACACGGTCTATGCTGCCCACTTTGGTGGGGACGGTGGGTTAGACAAAGTGGTCAGTGCAAAGTGATGAGGTCTCTGATAGCAGGAGTAACAGGTATTAGAGCGGCACATGTGGGAGTGAAGGGGTGGGGATGGGGGGCTAGGAAAGGCTCCTGGGAGAAGTGACTTTAGGTGCTGGCAGAAAGGGTAGGAATGAGCCAGGTGAAGAGGCTCTGGAGGGAATCATCCCAGCCAGGGGGAGACTGTGCCCGGGCCCAGAGGTAGAGGGTATTGTGAGCACACGTTCTCTTGACTGCAACTGGCGGGAGATAGACCTGGAGGGGCAGTCAGGGACCCAGCCAGGCAGGCTGTTTCCAAGGAGCTGAGACTGAATCCTGTGGGCAATGTGAGGCCTCTGGTAGGTTTAAGCAGTAGAGTTTATATCTCTCAGAGTCACTTCCGTACAGTGATGTGAGTGGCTTTAGAAATCATTTGATAAAGTTGAAATCAGATGATAAAGTTGAGGCCCGGGGAGGTAAATCCAATCACCTCTCTTACTACGATTGTTACCAGCTGATGTTAATTGAGAGCTTACAGATGCCAGCACTGTGCCCTGTGATTCACAGCCTCAGCTCGCTCACCCTCACCACAATCCTCTGGGGGAAGTACTAATGTCCCCATTTTTCAGATGAGGAAACTGAGGTCCAGAAAGTTGAAGTAACTTGCCTTAGGCCACTCAGCTACCAAGAGCTGAAGCCAGTATTTGAACGAAGTCTGTCTGGCTTCATAATCTATCCTTTTCCAGGTTTTCAGAATTCATAGTTGGGCTGGAATTTAAATCCAGGCCTCCTGATATTGGCCTGCATCCGCACATTAGCTGCTGCATCGCATATACCCGGCCCGCTTGCTCTCTTAGAAGGTGGGTAACTACCTCACGTCATCTTCCCTGCTTCTGTTGGCCGTGTCTGCACCGACTCTGTGGACTTTATCGTCATAACCGACACCTCTTAATATGCTATTTTTACATCATGGTCTTCATCTGTCACCTGTTAATCTATTTCAGAAAGACTGTAACACACATGCAGTGTCACTGTTCTGAGGAGGACCAGAGAGGGACTCTGGAAAGCTGGAGGCGGGAAGTTCCAAGACATACTTTGAACAGTCTTGTGGGCTTCTTGAATCTGTTGACCAAGGACATGGGCTCAGGTGGCAGGGCTAGCCCCTTTCAGCCCGAGCTTGTGAGCTGGCCTGTCTCTCTTGAGTTCAGCAGTCCTCAGGGCTGTGACCTCCCAGGGCCTGGCCATGGTGGGGCCAGCTGTCCACTCTGGGACTGTCACCTTCAGGTTCTGTGGGGGCCACGGCTGCCAAGTCTGGGGAAGCCTCGGGCACTTGTCATTGCTTCCCAGCTAATGACCTCCTGGCCTGGCCACATTGCAACTAATTTCTGCAATTAGCGGGGCTTGTTTTCAGAGGCTGAAACGGGAACTTTTCTGAATTAGCTTTTATGGTTCAAAGCCTTTAATTTGAGATTTAAAAAACATCATAGTTCACCAAAACCAAATAAACTGCAGCTAATGAAATTCGCAGAAGTTCTCAGAGAATGCTTCTCACTGGTGCTCCTGGATGATTTATTGACAGCCGGTTGTAAAAACAATCTTATTAAAGGTCATAATGTTGGGTAAAAAAAAAGCCCTTTAATTTATAGCATAATTAGGCTTCCCCCAATAGCTCTGCGGCCAGGGCTGTCACTTAGGGCTCCGAGGAAGCACTTGGTGTTTTTCATTATATCACAGTGAAGGAGCGCCATGCTCCTAGAGGGCCCACTGACTTGCTCTTTATGGCCCTTTTATTGCTGCTAAAATAGTCAAAATAGGGGGTTGATTAGAGCCGACTGATGCCTACTGATTATGGGAACACCTCTTGTGTGGGGAGGGAGAAAAGATGGGAGGAGCTCAGGACTTCAGGACAAGCCTCTGACAGGAAGAGATGGGCTGTGAAACGTGCTGGGGAAGTGTGACCAGGCCTCTGGGCTCTAACCCAGGCACTGTGTGGATTGAAGGCTAACCCCAGGCAGGCAGGGCTGGGTGAGAAAGGGGAAGGGAAGGTGCTAATGCCTCAAGGAAGAGGATGATCCCAGGGCAGGATGTGTATGGGAATGAGAACGTTCAAAATGCTAATGGGTCCCCAGGTGGAGTACAGCTCTCAGCCTGGTGGTGGGGAAACAGCCCCAAAGGCTAAAGGTCCTGCCTGCTGCTGCCTTCTTGCAGAAAGAAAAGAGAGGACTCAGTAGTGGTGTATTGTGGTGGGGGAGGGGGAGATGGGCAAGTCCTGGTCTCTGGAAGCTGAGCCTGGGGACAGAGTCAAGTTCCTAAGAGTGATGTTGGAATAGGAGCTGCTCCCCCGGGCTGTGCTCGGGTGTGAAGGTGCCTGGGAGGGGTGGGAGTGTGTGTGGGCAGGTGTCACACAACCTCAGCAGAGCATCAGGGATGGCTACCGTTGGCCAAACCCAACAGATATTGCCACAGGGAAGGGGTGGGTGGCTCCGAAGTTATGCTGGCATTCCATCTGGCCTGGGCATGGCCTGGTGCTGACCTGCCACTAGAAAGTTGTGGGCATAGCAGCCACAGGGATTGGGCTGCTGCTTCAGAATCCACCTTACAGGTGGAGTAAGTGCTCTAGGGTGCATCTGGGCCCTTTCCCTCCCTTCCCTTCCTTCCCCTCCTCTCCCCTCCCCTTCTCTCCTCTCCACTTCTCCCTCTCCTCCCTTCCCCACCCATCCCCTCCCCTTCTCTCTCCCCTCCCCTCCCCTCTGCTCCCTTCCCCTCCTCTCCCTTCCCCTTCTCCCTCTCTTCCCTTCCCCTCCCATCCCCTCCCCTTCTCTCTCCGCTCCCCTCTGCTCCCTTCCCCTCCCCTTTTCCCTCCCCTCCACTTTGCTCCCCTCAACTCCCCTCCCCTCCTCCCTTCCCTCCCCTAGCCTCCCCTGACCTCCTCTTTCCCTCCCCTCCTCTGCCCTCCTCTTGTCCTCCCCTCCTCTCCATTGCTCTCTTCCCCTTCTCCTCCCCTCCTCTTCTCCCTCCCTTTCCTCCTCTGCCCTCCTCTCCCCTGCCCTCTTCCCCCTTCCCCTCTCTCTCCTCTTCTCCTTTCCTTCCCTCCTCTGTCCTCCTCCTCTCCCTTCCTCTCCCCTTCTTCTTCTTCCTTCCCTCTTCCCCCCCCTCACCTCTTCCTTTCCCCCTCACCTCCTTCCCCTCCTCACTTCCCTTCCCTCCCTTCCCCTCCCCTCCTCTCCCCTCCCCTCTCTCTCCTGAGATTTATCAGCTGCTCAGTCTACCTACCGTCCTACATGCAACTGGTGAGCACATCTCAGTATCCTGACACCTGCTCAACCTTCAGAGGACTGAGAAATCAGATTTCTGGCTCCTTGAAGCTGAAGGTCAGACCTAGGCATGTGGCTCTCACTAATGGGTGCGTGCTATAGAGATGCAGCTATTCTTTCATGCTCCTCCTCCTCCTTTCCCTCCCCCTCCTTCTTTTGCAGTTGTGTGCAAAAGGTTTACTGGGGAGTAATATTGTGAAAGGAAAAAGGGAGAAACAGGAGAATCAGGTAGGGACCTTGAGACCGCCATGCAGATCTGACAGTCCCTTCTGCCTCTTCTCACAAGGTCACTGGTTTCCCTCCAACAAGTGGCACAAGCAGGAAGGATCACTGGGCGCTATAGAGCTGAGCTGGGAGAATTTTGTCATAGAACCTGGCATTTTGCTGAGGGACTCCCTTAGATATTTTCCCTCTTAATTCTAACTCCAGCCAGTGGAAAGAGGGTGAGACTTGCTCCTTGGACCAAAGTTCATAGTTGTGGCATTCAAAGTTCACTCAGTGAACGTAGCTGAGCACCTGCTATGCGGCAGGCACTGAGCAGGAAGGTGGGCTTACAGAAATGAACTCCGAAAGTTTCCAGGTTGAGACAGAGGTGGAGGAGGTGCATGATGTAATTGATCACATTACGGTATGGTAAATGCCACAGCTAACTTCACACAGGAGCTAAGGGAGTACAAAGGAAGGAGGAGATAACTGCTTCGTGTGTGTTTAGCAGTTACTGCATGTGTGACGCGTGTTGGAGTGTATGTGGTGAGTGCATGCATGTGAGTGTGTAGTCTGTGTCAGTTATGTCAGTGTGATGTGATGTAGATATACAGTTGTGTGAGTGGGAGTGTTTGTGAATGACGGTGTATTCAAGTATGCGAGTCGTGCGTGATGCTGTGGTGTGTGGGGGCGTGTGAGAGTGCACTTGAGTATGTCAGGGATGTGCTGTAGGAATGACTGACCTCAGGGACCACGGCAGCCTTTGCAGAAGGTGTAAGTGCCCCATGGGAAGGGATGGCATCTGCTGTGCTGGAACCCAGGGCCTAGCATGGTGCCAGACGCAGGAGATGATCAATACCCTTTTTTGGCTGAACAGCTACCCC